GACATTTATCTACTATAAACTATAATCAATAGTTTTCTGTCGCTTCAATCTCGCTAGCATCAATTTTTTAAACATACCTATATTATTTAAAACTCGATTAGATAAATTATATAACGCGTTTATACCAAAAGAACTTGAAGCGAGCGGAAGTTATATGATATGACAGCTTTTAATTTAACACCTGATCCACACGTGTAATCTCTTTTAATCGTTTTTACTGCAGAGGCATATAATTGCGATTTTCTATCGCAAATCACTTGGACGTTTACTGCTTTGCGCGCTAGTCTCTCGCGTGATGCCGTCGTGTTCCCTTCCGCGAAATCCCGCGCTCGAAATGCCCGGTTCTCGTCCGCGTATAAATTTGTTTACTGTAAATTATGGCTCTAATAGATACAGTCGCGTGTCTCTCGATCGTTTCTTCGTCGGTGTACTTTCGGTATCGAACAAAGAAGGCGCATTATCTCCGAACGGAGGCGGTTGGTCTCATCAGCTGTTTTCCTCGCGTGATAACCGGCAATTCTCCGCGCGACGTTGTATCGATCAGCGGCGATTTGTTAGCGCGGATTATCTGCCAATGAATTTGAAATCTTGTCCGTTTTGACAGCTATAAAAAATTAAAAACCCTGTCTGAACAAAACGAAAGTACAGCGGCGGATTCGCGACGGTAGCTAAACGTAATTTGCATAAATAATATCCACTGATCTATCGACAATAATTGCGTCCCGCTTATTATCCAGAGACGTGAATTCTTCTTAATTATAATTATTATCGGCGACTAACTTCATTCATAATTCTTAGGGTTGCTACGATAATGTCCCCTCATGTTACTCTCTCTCTCTCTCTCTCTTTCTCTCTATCACGCTGAATAAATATATTGGCTTGAACGGAAAGTTCGTTCCGTTTTTTACTAAGAGACGAAGGCCGAAAAAACGGCATGAACTTTCCGTTCAATCTAATACAATAACTTTGATCTCATTTGAAAGATAATTTAATTCTCTACCACTTTTGTTTTGGTATTTTTTGTTAAAAGACTATTGTAATTAACTATGTAGAAAGGGTACATTAATCGTTATTGTTACTTTAGATACTGCTCATGATGAGGCACATTATTTTTTTATCATTATCTGGACACACACAGAGTCATGTACATAACATGTTCCGGTGATAACTTGATTTATCAGTTAATATAATTTTTACAAAATTTATTGGAAACTAATTGGTAATACTAATGATAAATTTGAATGAAACAATATATAACTCAATAGAAACAGATATATAAAATATGGAGATATTAAAAATCGGAATTAATATATTCTCTTTATTTTTGATATTCTATAGATAAGTTGCAAATGTCTAATTATTTCGAACATTCCAAATGATAGAAAATTGAAAAGAGAATTTATATAAGAAATATCGACAAATAAATCTCTCTACAACATTCATATAGCGCGTATACTGTTTCATTGTATCCAAAATGCATATCATTAATAGTAAATAATTGACCATTGATTCGAAGATTAGAGCGCGATGAAGATTTCGTATTTAGTCAGATAACTGCTTTTCTTCGCAGTCTTCTGCATAAGCAGGCGATAGAGTAGAGAAAGAAAGCAGAGGAGAGAAGAAGTCCCGTGCACGCGTTTTTTTCTTTGCAGTCCCATCGGCCCGTCGGAATGATCGACGAGTTCTTCGGAGAACCGTCGTCGATAAATCACCGATAATCGCGTTTTTTTTTTTGCAGGCGCGCCTTAACGCGGCTGTCTTCGTTTTCACTGTTGCGTCGACACGCAGGTTTTTGATGGTGCTGATATATTAGGCTCATTGTCTCGCGAAATGCACTCGCTCATCGACGTCATTAACTGCGTAATTAACACTCTCCCTTTCCCCCTTCTCCTCGACTCAGCATTCCTCCGCGTAATGAGTCCGAGCGTGAAAATTTGCATGCGAATCTCGCTAAGGCTGCCGACGTACCGCAAACCGCATTCGCGGAGTTATTCTTCCCTCCGAGCTATATATACACGAATACAGCCGTGTGTGAATGCACCTGGTAGCTAAACTGGGTCGCATGTCGTGCTAGTCATCGTCATTTTGTAAATATAAGGATAAACGTCCGATTGTACTTTCAATGCAGAATGTCGATAACGGGCTCGTTGTCATTTAGTTATGCGAAAAAAGGATATTAGTTATTGATTGTCGATTGAATACAATCTATGGTGGAGTAATTCCGGTATAGATAGCCATACGAGGAGAGATAGCCAGTCATTGCGGATTCTCCAGTAATTGCCGCGGCGATATGCATGAATAGTTAGTATAACGTCATGACGATTGATTGGAATTGTTCCTCGTTTAGTTTTAACGCTTTAGTGAATGTTTTATTATGTTCTTTGTTCGGGATATCTCTCTTCGTTTCACAGAATCAATGATTACATATTTCGGAATTACTTTTTAAACAATCTAAAGAATTCATTATATAATAATTATCAATATTAAATTCTTTTTCCAGCAAGTTCTATGTGTTAATTATTATATTATATTATGCATATATGTATATGTATTTTGCACGTACACTATCTTAGAAATTAGATATCTTTTTCTGAATTACTAGGAGGAAAAATTGATAATTTGAGAATATTGAGACACAAAATAGTTACTGAATTCCAAATAATTGGATAATTAAAAAAAGAATTTTGCGATTTGAGAGACGCTTATTCAGAAGTGCAAATAAGTAAGATGATCTTACATTTCAATTAATGTTAAATGGAATTTATTTTAGCAAAGTCTCAATCTCTCATCGTATAAATTTTTTGCTGACAGTTTGCTAACAATTTCAGAAATCGCGCCCGTGATACAACTTACTTCATTTGCATGTTGCAAATGAAATAAAGTCTACGCGCGTTTCGCGTGGCATCCGCGAAATATAATTTCCCATTGGAACAAACATGGTCTATCGTCACTTCTCGCGTGTGCATGGTAAACACCAATTGATCGTATCTTCGGGCGCATTTAAACTGGCTAAAAACACTGGTTTTTATCCGTTTATTCAATGCAGTTTTTGCGGACAAAATCGCGGACGGCAATTGCAACGTTCTGATTTCGCGGCGGATCAATTTACTTGATAAGAACGGGGACGTGCGATAAAGTCGAGTCGTCGCGAGAGGCTGCTCGAACCTGCAATTAGCATTTGCGGTGAAACGTCTTATAATCGCTTAATAACCGTGCGCAAATAGCGCCCGCTAATTGGATGCACGCAGCGTGTCGCGTGGCCGACGATTAGCGCGAAGAGCACAGAGCTTCCCAATATGATGCCCGGCACGATCGTCGTCGTCGCGGGATTCACGGTACTCCTCGGAAAAACTTACCGTAACCGGTTTAACGATCGCCACTAAACGTCCATAGGTGTAAACGATAAACTTTTTCCATGCATTTCGCGGAGAATCGCTTATTTTAATAATGCGCTATTAATATCAGCGTTAATTACATTGAAATCGCGATTACGCCGATCTCTGGAAGATAGAAAGAAAAAGAGAGAAAGAGAGAGAGAGAGCAGAGTAGAGAAAAGGCGAACTAACCAACTAGCGTTGAGATTTACGGTTGATTACATTTTCCTCGAGATCTTTGCATAAGTGAATGCGCGCTTTGACGAGAAAGACGCCGCTCATGCTCGCTTACTTTCGATTATTTCTGCGCCGTCATGAATGAGACGTCCGGTATTCGCGCCTCGCTACTCGCGGTAGTAACGCTATTTAAAACTGCCGACGTGAGATACATATTATTCGAGGTGTTAGTCTCGGAGGTAGAAAGTGCTCCGTCGAGAGCGCGAGATGCATCGCGATGCACACGCTCGAGGAGATGAGAACCTACGCGCGCATTTCGCCGTTTTACCTTCGCCAGTCCCCCTGGCAGGAGGTGATGAGGGTTAAAAGGTGGAATTAGAGGGGGGGCCTTTCAACCAAAGGTCAAGCTCGCGGGCTGGCACAGTCCGAGTTTCGTTTCTGCATGCGTGCACGTGCGTCACGTATGTATATACGTACGTGTCCGTCATCATCGTGCCACCGATACACGTGCGTTTCCATCGCGATTAATCGACAAATGAGCTTCGTTTCGGTAGCGAGCGCGCACTCCGATCGATCTCTGTATCTTGTAAAACGGATATTAATCGGAGAAACGTATTTAATGGTTCGATGAAGCAAGCTGGTATTATTCACTGTAGAGATGTATGTTTTTCTTTAATAGCGCAGCGTGACATGCATGTTTGTTCAATAGAAGAAATTGAAACATCGAATGTTAGTATATCAAAATTAAGTAATTTATAATTGCTTAACATTTTAATATTTGATATTTAATTATAGATATATTGTGCAATTTTTTTTCTATGAAATCAGACTTTTTAAAGATATAGTCTTATTATAAAACGCCAAATTTTTTTATAACCGGTTTTTTTTATAGAAAGATTGAACTTTTTATAAAAAGATTGAAGTTATAAAAAGTCTGCAGATACGTCAAATAAGTTAGTAACATGCTCCAATAAAAATCAAAATTAATTGTCCAAGCGAAATGTTGTAACAAAAAAAAATAAAACTTCTTTTTTCGAGTCACACACATTTTATGTTTGATATATAATATATTTTTACAATTTAACAAGAATGTATAGAAATGCACTATGTGTTAATAACAATTGCTCAAACAAAATAATATTAAAAAATTTGATTGAATTCTAAAATTACAAAAACATTCCGTCATTAATCAGATAATCATTAGTTCAACTTATTTATCATAAGAGAGTTTTTCGATCTCGTTAGTAAATCGGAACAGATAAACTTTGATAAGATTTTCATTGAAATTCGTTTAGCTATCAGTTTTGTGAATCCCACGATTAAATTATCGATTGCTGCATATGTGTGTATGGTTATGCTGGTATTCAGAGTTTAGCTGCCAAATTAAAATTCAATATCCTTGTTATCGAAGATGCGGATATAATGAGATTCTTCATGTTCTCGTTTCAGGAACCAAAAAGCGAATCGACGAAGTAGCATTACCAAGGACTATTCACGATTTGCCGGAACGCGTTCTCACGTGTGGCCTGTCACTTCCCGGTAAGTTTTAAAATATAAAATTCTTTTTAAGAAATATATATAAGAAAAAGGTATACGATAATATATGATAAATATAATCGTAATCATAATTCGACAATAAGAAAAATCGTAGAATAAATCGTCGAAACGTTTCGTCAAGAAAAAGAAAAAATTTTTAATTTTAATCTTCAATTTTCTTATGATAAATCTTGAATTGTCAAATATTTATCTGAGATCTACGTCCGCATAAGTGAAAGTCGCGCTGATTTAAAGAGATTTCCGCGTGTTTAGGAGTGAAATAACGCTCATGGATTTTCCTCTTTAAATGCTTTTGGTACGCGATGCCCGGCTGCGCTTTTGTCGTAAGCCTTTGTCTCGCCTTGCAGTGCTCCACATAGAGACACGCAATGGCAGAAACGTGCGCTTATGCCGCACACGCGACTCTCGCGTCGCGTTGCGGAAGATAACAACACGCGGTGACCGCGTAGGAGTATGCGGAAGCTGGGACACACCCACCACGTAGGGCTCTTAAGCTCGGTCGATTCACACGCCCTCGCATCTTCTGCCCGTTCCGTGCATCTATTTACGTACTTGGTCGGAGTACCGGCGGATACTTCTCCCCGGAGAGCAGATCCTCTCCCTTCTCTCCCTTCTACCACGATTCCGCCTTCTCGAGTATACGCCATTCTCTCGACCATTCGCTCTCCTTGCCTTTCATCCCGCTTTGTCCCTTTCTCTCCCTTTCAGCGAGGCTCAGCTGGCCAGATCCGCGGATGTCTAACTGTATTCCCGTAGTTGGCGCAGTTGTTACTCTCTGTCGTCGATTAGCGCACGGCAGGAAGAAGGTAGTCGTTGGACGGTACTTGAGGAGTCTGACCGGAGATTAACCCGCGAGCGTTCGCGTCACGAAACACACGCTTTGTATGTATGTGTTGTAAATTACCATAGAAAATATATAATGATCGTCTAGCTTTTAAATGGGCGTGTATATTTTAGAAAGCAGAAAATTAAGTGAGACAAAACGAATTTTTTGCCGAGATACATTTGTGTATATCGATGTAAATGACATATTTGAATTAAAATTTTACATACAGCGATCAATTGCGAGATCTGTCTGCTACTGTCGAACGAATAATATCCGAGTATTCGATTTTACCAGCACAACGGTTAACGTAACATTATCTCGTAATAATAGAGATCCAAGATGATATCAATCTATAAAGATTGATTAAAAGTAATATATAATATATTTTTGATACTATGAAGAAGAAAATCACTTTATCGAACTTTGCTTTGGATCGAGTAAATCCGCCACTTTTTCGGTGTTTTCGACATCGGCGTTGTTCGTGCAATAGTCACCTCTTACGAGACGGCGTTCTGCAACGGTAACCGGGTGAAAGGGAAAAGCACACTCTCGGCCGCTTTAATTAGAACCGAGTGTGGGATATGCGCGACTCTTTTGTGTCTCGATTATAAGGAGAGACCCCTCGCAGCAACATTAACGTTAACTATCCATTTATTCGAACATGAGCTACATGCTCAATTCACACGCCTTCGTGTTCTCCTGCATTCGTCCATTTATACGGCTTTTCTCGTGAAAGGGCCAACAGTCCCTTCCTCTTTTTCTTTATCTCTCTCTCTTCTAAATGCTGCTCTCTGTTTGTCTGCATCTCACACATGTACCGTACACTCTTCCGTGTACTATCTCATACACTCTTCCCGCTACCTTTTCCTATCTCCCGGTACCGCCTCACAATGTTCGTGCTCCCTTCGAGCTTCGTGCTCTACCTCGTCCCTTCTTCCGCTCATCCTCATGGCTCGCTCAGCTGGCCGGATTCACGGATGTCTAACTGTATCTCGTAGTTGGCGAAGCTGCTGCTTTGTCGCCGATTAACTGACCGGTATGCGGGCGGGAAGAGTCGATGGGCGACAAGCCAATGTGTTCCGGCATGCGTTAAACAGTAGAAATAAATAGTAAGAAACGCGTCATACCGTGAATTGTCAATTTTAATTATAATAAAGTGTAGGCACTTTTCACGGTGCTTTTTATCGGTTTTCCGTATGTAAATTTAAGCGAATTCATATTTCTACTTCCGATTCTCGATCTCAATGATTCACGAGAATGCAGTGAATGAATCAAGTTTTGTTTAAAAGGCAAAAAAGCGAATTATTGAAAACAATATAACAACATAATTAAAAAAAAAATTATAAAAGATAATAGATAGTATAATAGAATGAATTCTAAATCACAATAATATACAACACTCTTCGACATTTTTAAATAATATTATATTAAAAAATAACAATAATATTCGTATTTTTTTTCTGGGAATCGTTCACACGATTCAATTTTTTTCATTACGGGCGATTTATCAAAGTAAATGGCGCAAATTTATTTTAAGACATACTTTTACGGGAGCATCGATGACCATGCTTTGATTCGCGCGACCCACGTATCTTCATACATTCCGGTATCTATTTATACAGTCTTTCTTTCCTGGTGGTAGTTCCTCGCGTGTCTCGTTAAGCTCCTCCTGCTCCTCTTTCTTCAGCCATCGATTCTGCCTTGAACGACTCGATGCTCGCGGTGCTCTCCTCATCTGGTCGTGTTCACTTCCTCCATTCCGCAGCTTGATTGCAACAAAGCGCAACGTTGTTTTAGTTTCGTGGGATCTTGTTGGAGCTGCCTCGCGGCTAAGTTTCCAACCCGTCTCGAGTAATCTTCGCGAGATTTTCCGACCGTTTCACGTCGCTCAGCTTTTACACTTTAATGTCTACATGCCTACATTGCATGTACGATTCCTCCCTAATGCCGGTATGATACGCGATGAGAACGTAGGGTTTCACGAGAAAGTCCATTGATAATCCGTCAAAAGTGCACTGTCTATTCCAGAAATGTAAATTCGGTCTTTTAGGTAATCATCTATTGTGCTATTGCAATTTATTCGAAGAAATGCACAGGACACGAAGATTGTATGTGCATAATGTAGCTAGTCTATTTATCCTCGAAATAATCAGTTCATGTATGGACTTGGTAATCGATAACATTGAAAATTTGAATTGAAAAATTTATATATTTAGATACAAGTAATACAAAAAAATATTTTCTTATAATTTTGGAAGTTATGTTTGGAAATATGTTACATAAAATTACAAGACTTTTAATATTAAGAACGATATGTGATTAAGGAATATATTAAAATTCAATCATTAATATATTCATGCTGCAAAAAAATATTCGATTATTTTAATAATGACACGAACTCGCATATTAGTAAAATATTCGTATTGAAAGTTGCACGAGTATCTATATATTTTTTAGACATCGTCTAGTATTACAAGTCTCTTAGTACATGATATGAATCTCGATTCGTCATCCGAACATGCTTCTGCTTCCTCGTCATCGATTCCCGGCGTTCTTGAAGCAATTGAAGATCCCCTCGTTATATCCCCTTCTTTCTCCCCGCTGTTTTCTTTCCTCTTCCCATGTGGATTCTCAGCTGGGGAGATCACCGAGTACCTAACTGTAATCCCGTAGTTGGCGAAGCTGCCGCTTTGTCGCCGATTAGCTAGCTGAAGATGCTGTGCCGCGCGCGGTCGCCTAAAAGAGGCGGGACGAGCAGGAAGAGGAAGCGCAAGAGATGCTGCATCGAGTCGCGTTTACGCCCGCCGGGCAAAGAAGTGCAAATACGACAAACGACCGCGGCCGAAGTTCAAGCGTTTCGAGAGAGTCGGAGATTGGAGAGCGTTAACGAGTCCCGCGAGTATTACGACGGTCTCGTATTTTTTTATCGCCGTTCTTGCCACAGATTCGAACGGAAGAATTTTCACAGAAGCGAGAATCGCGCGCATGATAAATTTCGCGATCGTACTAATTCGCCGTCTCGTGTGATTAAATCGAATCGATGCGCGAGATGGTTTGAATTACCGAGCTCGTTGGCACGGACATTCGTCGAGACTCAATTATAGGCGTACTCGCATCAATTATCGGAAAATGTTACCACGTCAGGAGAAATCGCTTCAGCTGGATTTATGTCAGGAATCATAGATTTATAAGGTAGCTCACCGCGTGACGCGTACACGGTCGCAGCGGTTGAATGGAGCGTGTGTAATAGAATCTTCGAGAGAGGCGGTGTGAGAAATTATATAGGGTGTTTCGCGAAGTCTACATTGAAATTTCGGAGCATATTTTTCGACAGATTTGAAATCAGTATTTTCCTTGCCTGAAAATTTGAGCCAAAGTTCAATCTTAGAATGATTTAACGTTCAAAAATAAGCAATTATGGCGAATCGAATTTCAAACAGAAAAAATTAATTGTTCAATTACACATACATTTCGATAATATCATCATGCAAGACTTAATCGTGCAAGTGTATTTAATAACAAAGAGAGATGCTATCCGATCGAACATTTGCTAAATAAAAACTTTGATGCAAAATTTACCAAGTACCTTGTATAAAGAGCGCGATATTTCAGCGAGATAGCGACTGGATATCCTCGTTAATTAAACGAAGAGCGAACGACGACGAGGTCGAGTAGCGGCGTGAATCGCGACACTCCATGTATTTACACAAGATGTGATTTACGGTTTTATGCAGGTTGGATGCCATGTGATAAAGACGATCGCTCGCGCTTCTTGTTCACGGGGTTTAAGTTAATGCGCAGATCAAACCGATTCACCTAACTCAAACTCGAGCGTGCACGTGAAAGCGGTCAGTTATTTACGATCACTCGCTTGACGATAAAGTCGTCGTTGTGGCGACTTGGCCGGGACTAATCTTGACTTGGCAATGCGCATAGTTGGCGACGAATTTAGCATAATGCAGAGGATTATTATTTACATTCTTAAAAAAATTAATATACGCGATTGTTCAGGACCGGTTTTATCTGTACATTAGTTGTTAACTTCAATTTCAATTTCAATATGTTGAGCTCTCAACTATTTTCGTGAAAATCTAATTGAGAATTATACGTCTGATTATATGATTTGTTGTGTCATTTAGATTGTTTTCTGTCATTA